TACTCTGTCTAGTTTTCTAGTTTAGCTTTTTCTTTTTTTTACACATTATTATCTATGATAGTTAGATACAGAGCTTTCTTATCTTGTAATATATAATTTTTAAAGTCCTCCACAGACCTATAATTGTGGCTGTCAGATTCCTTTTTTTCCCTACTTTTCATCTCTGTTTTTGTTTTTAATATTAGTATTTCGTCTTTTTCTTTTTCTTCTTTTAGTATTAGTATTAGTGTTAGTATTTTTTTTTTCTTTTCACTTCTCTACAAAAAGATGTCATCAGATTGGTGGTATTCTATCATAGGGCGGTGGTCTGACATAGCTTTTCCGAGTTGGCCTGGGTCATGTGACTAGGACATTGATATCTCTTAGAGGAATTTTAGACGATGTGGCAGATCGCTTGTAAGTGCTCTCGAAGTAACTGCGGGACATCAGGTCTAGATATTAAGCTCAATATTGTATTAACCTGTAATGCAATAATCTTAATAAAGAATCACTGGCAAGACTGCCAAAGATGGGAAAAAAAAAAAAAAAAAAGTAAAAAGCAACATTCTTAGTAATAAATATTTTAAAGAGATACTGTGTAGTCGTCGTAGTTAGAAAGTATCGAATATTGGTGGTAGTATCTGGCATGTTACCCCATTCTGTGTGATTAGCCAAGCGAGTAGAAATTAAAGTCCAGAGAAATGAAAACCCTATAATACCGTGAACGTCTACGACACAAGAATCTGGGCAATTGAACAGCCCTACTCACTGAACCGTTAAAGTCTTGCTGTGTGAAGGTTCAAAGAAGCTTATAGTTGTTGAAGGGGCCGTGATCAGTAAAATTAAGGTGCCTCGGTTGCCATTATGAAGTTAGAAGATTGTGATCAAGGAATAGCAAAAGGATATTGTTAGTGAAGAGTCAATAAGTAAGGACAATAAATATGAAAGCTAATACATATCTGAGTGGTGAATCTAAACGAATAAACATGGACGCCAGTAATCTTGTGGAGTTGTTGGTCAAAAATATGGTGAAAGTGGTAGTTGAAACTATAAAAAACTTGAAATTAGTGCAAGTAAATCGTCATTGTTTTAGGCCCATCTGTGCTATGTATGTTGACGTAAAGGATATTTAGCTCGTAATTATCCAGATCAAATGAAGTATGAACACCAGAATCGTTGTTTGGAAGTACCTAAAAAACAGAAAGGAAAGGTTAATAAAAGTAATGAACGAAAGAAAAGGAAGGATGATACGTATCTGGTTAGTAAGGTGGACAATATAAAGTTTCTTGGATTTGTGGATGAAAGGAAAGGTGACATTGTGAAAAGTAAAAAGGGAATCGAATCAGTGGTATAAACATTAGGAAGAATAGAGAGAGAACGAAAAAATTATAAATATTAGTGAAAGTGGTCAAAGTGATACAAAAATGAAAGAACAAGCAAAAGTCAAGAACAAACCTGAAGGGTCCAGTGAGGAGGAAATGTCTGAGTATTATCAAAAGCTAGCAGGACTAAGTAATGCTAAAGAAACATATAATGTTGGATACTGTTATCAACATAGAATTGGAGTTGATAAGGATGAATAGAAGGCATTCATTAACCACCAAAGATCTGCTAAAGATGAATGTAAAGAGCCTGAATGGGAGTTGAAATGTGCTGAAGGTGACTCAAGAGCACAAAACGAGCTCAGACTGTGCTACTAATATGAAATTGGAGTCAACAAGGATGAACATGAGGCATTTATTCATTATCAAATATCTGCCGATATAGGACATGATAAAGAAACGTATAATGTTGGTTATAGTAACCAAAATAAAAAGGTTGTTGAGTTCAATAGAGGCATATTCACTGAGATGGATGGTGATGATGGTTTGATTAAGCCTAGACAACATTATCAAGATGGAGCAAGGGTAATAATAGATATATTATTGGACGTAATCTCGAGGATAAATATAATGATGAAGGGTCTACTAGATTTGTTAATAGAAACCGAGCCTGAAAGTGTCTCTGTAAATATCAAAAGTTAGATAAATGTTAGTGAAGAAAACAAACCGGTTGAATATGAAGCCCTTAAGTACTTCAATAAGGTTTGTGATACTCTTGAGAGTTCTAGTAAGAATGTAAATAAAGTATTTGACTATTACCAAAAAGCTGTTGATGATAGTAAAACTGATAGAATTGACGTTGATGAATCTGAAGATTAGAAGTTTGCTACTTTTGAATATGAGGCAGATATGCTTTAGTGGTTTTGGGATGTGAATATCGGTCATGCAAATAGAACGTATAGTTGTAGATGCTGCTATAATAAAGGAATTAGGACTGAAAAGAATGAAGATGCAGAAAGAAACGAAAGCAAAATTGGTATTGAAAAGTCTGTGAGTATAAACCTCGTGAGTAGATCCTTTGATCTTAAAAACTGTCATCGGACTAGAATAGGTGTTGAAAAGGGCGACAAGAAGGCTTTTGAATAGTTTTTAAAATTGGCTGAAAGTGGAAATCCTAATGGAAGGCTCAATACTAGGTTATACTACAAAAAAGGCATAGGCGCTTCCAAAGATGAACGGAGAGTATTTGAATGGTATTTAGAGTCTGCTGAAACTACCAATAGAAAGCTCTGGAATAAAGCTATTGAAGATAGGTGGCATGAGAATTCTGGGATAATGGTACCTGATAAAGTAAACAAAAGGACAATTAGAAATGGGATGTTGTTTATAGATAAATGCGGCTTTGACCAAAGTCGATATTGGAGTATAGAGAATAAGGCTATGAGGAGTTATAATAAAATGAATCGAATATAGGGACTGCTTGAAGTGGGTGACAGTAGAAAAATCGAATTTCTTAAGCGATTGTATTTGGATCACACGATCGGCTGTGATAGGACTCCGAAGATCTCTGATATAACTTAGATCTGAGTTTATATAATATTAGCCAAATAGGCATATAAAATAGGCCAAAAATTAAAAAATTTACTATATAAAAATGCAATGTTTGATGAATTTCTACGCAAAAATTCCTTTTTTAGTAATCTCTGAGTTATATTAGAGATCTTCGGGGTCCTGCTGTGATAGTATGGAGTATGCGATATTTGGAAATCGAATCGACATACATTTTGGTTTGAAATATTTGTAATCAAAAAAAAAAAAATAATTTTTGTTAACGAATGTACTAACTGAACAGTGTATTATATTATAGTATATAGGTTATTAGTAATGTTGGGTATTGCAAGTGAATAATTTGTGTTAGAAAGTTGCTTTTACAAGGGTTGAAACTTCGGAGACGAAGTTCTGGGAATCTAGCTTATATCATGGTAAATTTCAGTACCCTATGATTTCGTGGTGCCAGGTTTGATTTGGATCGAGATATGCAGATAGCATGATTTGAATTTGCATAAGTGGGATGATTCGGATCTGTATAAATAAAATTAATTAAAAGTCTAATTTGTAGATAGTCTAATGTGTATAACCTGAGTAATAATATATCTGGAGATAATCTTGTAATAGATAAATAGCGTTTAAGTTTGGCTTTAGTAAAAAGTGATATTCTTAGTAATAAATATTTTTAAGAGATACTGTGTGGTCATCGTAGTCAAAAGGTATCGAATATTGGTAGTAGTACCTGGCATGTTACCCTATTCTGTGTGATTAGCCAAGCGAGTAGAAATTAAAGTCCAGAGAAACGAAGACTCCATAATACCGTGAACATCTACGACAATGATATTGTACAATATCCAGTTCTTCTTTCTTGTAAGAAATTTATTTCTTCATTACTCAATTCCTTTTCCTACTTCTTACTACTGTTAGTTTTCTTTTCTTTCTTAAATATACTCTTGGAAAAAAAATCATCATCTTGCTTTGGTTATATCTATTAGAGAGATAGATTATTATACCTTACTGTTTTTCTCTTTGTTTCTTCTATTTATCTTTTGTTTGCAAAAGTTACTTTTGCTATTTGCTTCATAAAGCCACTTCTTCTTTTTGGAATATAGACTGCTTTTGCTTTTCTGTCTTTAAGATGTCTTAGTAGAAAAGTTTTGAAGAGCTTTTCTGTGATTCTTGTTAGTTTCACTACAAATTTATGTCTTTTATCTCTCTTTTCATAATATTCTTTTTCTGTAGATATGCAAGCTAGTTTTCCATTATCTACTAGAAGAACCCAGGGTAAGTCTTTATTTTTTACAACTTCACTGAACTTTACTATTGCTAAAGCTCTGTCACCTTTTCGTTTGATATATATATACCTTCTATATTGCTTAATTTTCTGCACATATATCTAACTTCTTTCGAGTTTATATCTTCTAGCAGATCTAGATTGTGATACAATCTATATTTATATATCTATTATGATTGTATTTTCTTGAGATTTCTGGGTTTATATTGTGGTATTCTTCATTTTGATATGAGCTTTCTTTCATCTCCTGGATATATCTTATCTCGTTGGTATTTTTATTCTTGTAGTTAGAGTTTTGTTTAACTCTAGATCTGTTCTCTTAGTTTCTTGTTTTATGTTTTGAGCTTTTTGATTATTATTAGTTACTGGAATTAAACGGAGCCAATCTTCTTCTTTCTTTTGTATTCTCTTGATCGCTTCTTCTCTACTATATTCACAATCAAATTCTATCTTTACTCAACTATTCCTATTTGTGAAAACTTCCTGTACTGACTTTATGTGCTTGTTTTTGTTTAATATTTCTTCTATATTTTTGGTTCTCTTTTCAAGAGAGTCTCTAGATACTTTGAAAGCTGGTGCTTTTGTACGAAAAAATCTGTCTTCTTCACATATTTTGTTATTTGGTAACCAGATACTTTGTTCAATTGAGTCCTCTATCATAGTGAAACTATTATTTTCTTTCTGCTTTGCCTTTATTTGTTGAGTTTTGGATTTAATATTTTCTATTATATCTTGTATGATTCTGTCTATAGGAGCTTCTTCATCTTTCTTGACCTTTTTGTTTTTGGAAATTTTTTTGTTAGAAACTTCTTTTGGTCCTTTTCTTAAGGCTTAATCAGTTTTCACTGTTTCTTCATTTTTGATGCTTATATCCATATTTTTTACTTGATGTGAGAGATCTTCTATACTTATTTTCTTTTTTATTTTTTTCTTCTCTGAGTCTTCACCTGTCTATATTTCTTGAATTCTGTTAATTTAGCTTCTTTTTTTTCTTCTATTCTCATAATATCCTCTATTTTGTTTATTTCTCTTTTGATTTCT